CTGTTTAGACCAGATGTTGTTAGGAAGAAGGACATTTATTCACTTAGGCGTAAGATCCCCACCACTATGTGCCARTGGGAGAGCAGGAGTGGGAGAAAGCCCAGGATAATTCAGGATAGGAAGACATGTCAGGACAGCACTAGGAAAACAAGGAAAAGAGAACTCTTTTAAAGTTGACTAAGCATCAGTGTGTCTGAGCAGCAGCTTGAGGAATCAGTGCAAAATACTTGATGAATGATTAAATTTGAAGGAATTCAATTGCTCCATTATGAGTTTCAAGTGGAAAAAAAAWTCCTTGAGGGAAGATATAAAAAGCAGTTCTTGATATAACATGAACACTTTTTTTCCCATGAAGGTTAAAGAGTGTTAAATATGTTGGTAAAACCAAGAGAATATCAAAGGATGTATCATTTATATCACCAGTGTGTTGGCAATTCAGAAATGCCACCCCTAGGAGTTAATTCCACAGGTTTATATGGGAAGTCAATGCCATTCCAAGAAGCAGGAGGCTGAGCTGGAGCCTGACACCCTGGGTCTCCTCCAAGCCTTTCAGCAATACTTGGCTGGACACATAGGTGCACAGTTACATGGCTAATTACTTCTGTTCCGTATGGAAATTAGAAGAGGAGGAAATTAYCATTATTATCCATTTGAGCACATGATTACCTGAGCACGGCGTGTGGCTGCAGTGCTCTGTACACAACTGCACTCTCAGTTAAAYAATACCTGGCTTTCTGTCTGAGGCTTGGTCCAGACTCGGCTTAAAGTAGTATCCTTACACCCCACTTAAGAAGGTGTTTGGGGTGGTAAGAGATTCTGGCAGATACCTCTTCATCAGTGCTTCAGATGCTGTTGAAACCTGCTAGGTCTGAAATTATGCTTACCACACTCTGAATTGATCTGWACTTGCTGGACTTGATCTGTTTTCTTGCTCAAAAGAGACCAAGAGAAACCTTGAAAGAATGGTTCATTCAGGCATTGTATTTGAAAAGGCAATGAAAACAGCAGTGCTTCCAGCCCTGGGAGTTAAATTTTGGGGTTTTGGAGGTTAAGAGTTGTGTTTCTTGTTTGGTGGGGCTTTGGAAGGTGTTTTTTCTTGGGGTTTTTTAGGTTTGTTTTTTGGTTTTTGGTTTTTTTTTTTGAGTTTCAGGTCATCTTCAAGTCCATCTCTATGGATCCCCTGACAATTCAGTGGACTCTGTTGACTCAGCAGACTCTGAGTGGAGAGATCCCTGGCTCCACGCTGTGGACAAGGGGAGACAGTCACACCTGACAGTAAGCAATGAAGAACATCTTCCAGTTTCCATCTCTTCATTCTGCATTTATATTTTAGGAGCTTCTCAGCTTCATGGGTATCAGGAAGACCTTGACAGCATGGGATGCTAAAGGAGCCAAAAAACCTATACTGTGTTTGACTTGCCTGTGTTGAGCTGTTGTCTTTGAGGTCACTGTGGGAGTGGGTTCAAGACAACCTGTGAGACTGACAAGGACCAGATCAGACATGGATGCTGTAGCACATGCACTCCTTCACCCTCCTCCTCCTCATGTCAGGTCAGAGCTGACTGTGCAGGCTCCCCATGAATGCAGCAGTTGTGAAACAGGATTACCTATTCCATTGATAAGTAAAGACAATTTCAAAAGAGCACTTGCAAGTTAAGCTTATCAGTGGACTCACTTCCTTGACAGCCCCCAACATTTCATTGCCCAATCTTAGCAGAAGTCAAAATTCACCTTGGCTTCACTGGGCAGGGACCTTCTTAAGCTGAAGCCTTCATCATACCACAGTGGAGTTACCCTGCTGATTCTCCATGTCCCAGTAACACACAACATCCACGTATCAGCATGTCACCAGCAACTCCACATTGCATTTGCAGCACCAGCTGACTTGCAGTGAAGGAGAACCACTAAGAGATCCTCTCAACCAGAAGGAGTGCTGGAGCTACCCCACTACCAGCAGCTGGAGTAGTGCACTGTGTGGCAGAAGTCCCTCCTCTACCTGGGGAAACAGCCCAGTTGGTTCTTAGAATGACAGAGAGCACATCTTCAAGGTAGAGCTGATCTGTATTTGAAACAATTCTTACCCATCCGTTTAACTTCTAAGAAGTGTTTGGTGCCCCTTTCAAGTGGGGCCAGCTAAGCAGACCCACAGAAATGTGAGTGCCACCTCCCCTCTCAGGCACGGGCCTGAGAATCACCAGYTCCACAGTGGTGACGCTGGCCAAGTCACATGAACAAGGTTGGTTGTTCCTCCAGTGTGGGCCCATAATTACCCATCCATGCCCAGAAGGGCAGGCAAGCTCTCCCACAGCTCACAGGAAATAATTACAGAGCAGCTCACCTTCCTGCAGTACAAAACTCTTCCTGATACATCCCAGAGGCACCAGCAGCATTACTCATAGTGGGTGACGTTTCTCAGCATGATTCTCATGCCCTGGCTCAGCCATCCATCCCTTTCCCATCTGGGGCTGGTCCAGCCCAGGACAGGACRTTGATGCAGGGGAGTTGGGGAGGAAGTGGAGGACACAGGTCTGGTTGTGGGAAGCAGCCTTTCAAGAAATGCTTGTTTAACACATGGCAGATCAGCCTACCTCAGGAGTGAGCTATTCCTGTAAAWCAAATAGCTTCTCATGAGTCAGGAGCCCAACCCTTTGTTACAGAGTTGCATATTTTCAGAAATCGCTGTAATWCAGGGATTTTTATTGTTAACATTTGTTGGTTTTCATGAGGTGGGATTTGACTCCTTAGAACTATAAAGAACATGGATTTCTGTGTAATGCCAGCACCCAAAGRGAATGCAAGCCTGGAAAGGGAAACCAGGCAACCCATCCTCATTTGCCAAGACAGACAGATCATCCTTCTTCTCTGAATGCTTTTGGAGTYCCCTTTCCTAAAAATTACATCCGCAGACTGTAAACTCTGTGGGGACATTACTGGAAATGATCATGTGTGGCTGAGAATGCTGAAATCAAATTTGTAATACTCAGCTGCTGTAATCTGCAAACAGTACTAAGTGGTAGAAAGAGGCAGCAACCACCTTCCAAAGCTGTTTCCAAGTACATACGATCAAGAGAGTCACTTGTCAGCCACAGCCTATTTCTGCTCAGCCCCTAGGAAGTCACAGTGASGATGATCACCATGCAGATCTTTATAGAAATTTCTTTAAAAACTAGATGAAAAACAATTATTGAGTTGTCTAGTCTAGCTACCATCCATCTCTTGTAAGTCCAATGTAAACAATTTGCAGCAGAAGACCAAAAGTTTGACGTGTGTGGGGGTAACTAAAAGCAGTGATAGAAGCATGAAAAAAGCTCTTTACCAACATGCAATTATGCTTACCTGCTGCAGTAATGGGAAACAAGGCTACAAATTACTTTCAGAGCTCTGTATTGTCATTGTTTTAAAAACTACAGCCCATTTTTCAGAGCATTACAAAAATATCTTGCCTGCAGAGAGGCTTTTATGTTTTTTAAACACTGATTGCAAACATAAGGGCAGGTACATGGTTGCTGTGAGAGGGCCCTTAGGGATGAGCAGCTCCACAGGGCTGTTTCAGGRAGTTTCTGTAACTGGGTGTTGCCGCCCCTGGATTAATTAATTCCACAGTGGGCACTCGCTGACATGGTGTTTCATCCTCCTGCAGGATTTCCCGTGCAGTTTGGGGACACCGTAAGACAGGGCAAAGCACACACTGTTCCCAAAGCATGGTAACACATAACAAGAGCACTGCTGAATGCTGCACTTCTGCCTGTGGTGATGGGATGGGAAAGGGGGCAGAGGGGGAGAGCAGAGCTTGACATGTACCTGCTTGGTTCGTTTGTGTTCAGGAACATCTGCTTATCCTACATAGGGTATGTGGTGGTGCTCTCCAAGGTTATTTTGCATGCAGGTCCCTCTGCTGAGTGATCTGCTTGCAGACCATGCTGATGCCCTGCTGATCTGGGGACAATCTCCCTGGATGAGCATGCCTYTGGGGAAAAGCTCACATCCCTTGGCATAAAGATGCATCCCAAAGGAGGCAGCAACCTATGGATGCCCCTGCCTGTAGACCCTCCCCACTCCTATGGGRCGTGTGGCAAATCCTCAACCCCTCAATGTCATGTGCCATGAAGGTTTAACTTCAAATTATTTTTGAGCTTTTGCTTTCCCTGCAGAAATTTTGTTTTGATACACATCCTTATGTTAATCATCTTTGCTTTGTAGTGACTCCTGCAGTCCCTACTTGTGTAGCAGAAGGAAGACTGAGTTCAATGCTCAGTTCACATAATCTGCTCTGGACTGCATCTCTTCAGATTGGCTTGGCAAAACAAAAAAAAAACCTCAGACTAACCAGGCAAGAGAGACCTCCTGAAGGACCCTTTCATTTAGAGCTGAAGAGAACAGAGTRTCAGAGTTTGGAAAACGAAGTAGTTCCATCAGAGAGGTGTACAGGCTCCRTACAGGAGGGACCCTTCAGACTTTGAATTCAGCTTTTAAATGAAAGATTGGTCTTCAGACCAAGAAAGTGATGCTTTTTATGAGTGGTAAAGCACAAAGCAATTTATTTATTTTATGGATGACTCTACCATTCAATATAAATTAAGCTTTTTTATTGATAAGCCAAATTCATATTTCACCTTGAGAAAATAACACATCATCTAGCTCGCCAATGGGCAGATGCCTGAGAGACAAGGGTGCTGGTGCTGCTGAGGCTGGGATTAACTTTTGTGTCGCAGGCCAATCTGGGGRCAATGTTACATGTCTTGGGCTTTAGCACTTGTCAGAGGTGATAGGATGGAAGCTGATGGTCAGTGTAATTACTGTGAACGGTGGGCAATGCTGGACCAACACTGTGTGTGAAACTGCACACAAGTGCCACTCCCTGTGGCCCACGGCTCTGCGGCCCAGCCGCTGCTCACATCCCTTCCACGGCCCAGCCCCGGCCCAGCCCCGGCCCAGCCCCGGCCCAGCCCCGGGCCGCTGCCATGGCCCAGCCCCGGCCCAGCCCCGGCCCAGCCCCGGCCCAGCCCCGGCCCGCTGCCATGGCCCAGCCCCGTCCATGGGTGGCGCTGCAGCTCCCGTGGCCGTTGCGCGTAGGCCGCGGCTGCGGTTCCCATGGTAACGGCGGAACGGTGCAGCGCGGCCCCCGATGTCACAAGGCACCGGCTGGAAGGCTGCAAGAACACCTGCAGCTCCGCACCAAGCGCACCACCAGATGAAGCTCTCTGGGCGCTGGAGTTTACTCCTGCCCTGACACACTTAACATCTGACAATGGACGACACCATGCATAGCTTGAGGCATATACAGAGGCAGGCGAGGCTACTGGACATGCGCATGCAGCTGCTCCGTGACAGGCTGTGCCATGATCACCACCATCATGGCTCATGCCACCATCATGGCTTATGCCACGGCCACCATCACCACTTCGGCCATCATCACCACCACTGCCTGCCCCATCATCACCACCATCACCACTGCCTGGGCCATCACCACCACGACCACTGCTTAGGCCACGGCCACCATCATCACTTCGGCCATCATCACCACCACTGCTTGGGCCATGGCCACCATCACCACTTTGGCCATCATCACCACCACTGCCTGCCCCATCATCATCACCACCACCACTGCTTGGGCCATCATCACCATCACCACTGCTTCGGCCACGGCCACCATCATCACTTTGGCCATCATCACCACCACCACTGCCTCCCTCATGACGGGTGCCACTCCCTCTGTTCAAGGCTGGATGTGGAGCGACGACTGGACAAGTAAGAGTTGCCTGCTTTCTTTCTAAGGCATGGGCAACCTTTAGGGTGGGTAAAGGGAGGTTTGACATTGCTGTCAGGAACAAAGGTTGAAACAAATAAGTAAGATGGGAGCAAAATAGACATTTTGGAGAAATAAACTGAAAGGGATACAGGAAGGTAAAGATTGTTCTCTTGTTTTAATTCCAGAATGAGAAGACTTGGCCTGATGTTGAACTCTTGCCATGATCCATGTCATGTGGCTTTGGTCGATGTGAAGGGTTTTGAACCCTGTGAAGTGAGTGTAACAGTGAGAGACGGGAAGGTGACCGTGACAGGCGAGCACACGGATGAGCACTGCACCGCATTGACAAGAACATGTAACGTCAGGAAGTTCATGCAAGAATTCTGCCTGCCACCGGGGGTGGAAGAGGATGAGGTGTCCTACGGCTTGGAAACCAACAGCCTTGTGAAGATTGCAATGACACCCAAGTGCCTTGAGGTGTGTCATGATCATCATGACTGCCACGATCACTGCCACGATCACCACGACCACCATCATCATCATGATCATCATCATCATGATCATCATGATCACTGCGACTGAGCTGCAGCAGGCATTCCTCTGCCTCACCTCTTCAGTGTGTCTCAATAACTGTGTGTCAGCAGCTTCTCTTGCCTCTTTAACAAAAGAAAAAGCATTCTGAGCACGTTGTGTGTGTGCCTCATTTTGAAGGGTTTTGGTGGGCAAAAAGGGGAGTTCCATCAGGAAAACACAAAGATGTTTTTGGGCATACGTGGCTGTGCTCACTTGCTGCGTACTGAAGGCAGGGCTTCAGTTAGGGTTAGGGTGAGGGTTAGGGTTGGTTGGTTGGTTGGTTGGTTGGTTGGTTGGTTGGTTGATTGGTGGTGGATTCAGGGCATAAAATCTTAAGGATTTTAAAAGGCTGAGGCACCACTTATGATCAGTCACATTTCTGTAAGGACACTTCTCTCAATCCAACCTCTCCCATTTCAGCTCTGGGGTATTTCTAGGAAGAAAATCTTGATGATACACACCTTGAGGGGAGGAGCCTTCTCCCAAAAAAATCAAGATGTACTCTTTATTCCCTTGGTTTGGTTCTTGCAGAGACTGCCTGACTGGGTAAAGCTGTGGATGAAGTACAGGGAGCTTTTCCTTTGCAGAGTCAGGTTTAGGGCAGGACACTTGCCAGCTGAGGGAGGGGATGACAGTACTTCTTGCTGAATCAATGTCTCCAAAATAATGAGAAAACATTTTTCATGTTGGGAGAGGGGAAGAATTGTGAGTATAATTGCTTGAAGGCAATTTTAACTTTGCTACCCTGGCTTGAGCACGTGGGTGTGCACTCCTGCAGGAAGCAGCATCACCTCACACTGCAGAAAGGGGTGTGCAACAACAACATACCTGAGCCATCATCTCCCCAGCAAGCACCACTTGGTTCAGGGTTCATGAGCCCCTGGGGCTGGAGGGAGGAAGGTTGCCAGCTCTTCATGTGATTCACTCTTCTGCAGCAGACCTACCTAACAGGGAACTCGATGTTTTAGGTTGTGCTGGCACAGAATCTGATGTTCACTAACCTGCCAGGGGAGAGGGTGAGCAGCCTGTGGGCTGGTGCTGTGCAGGTGTGCTGCATGCTTAAAACCCTTCAGACTGGATGTTATCCCTGCCATTAGCCTGGCTGACAAATGCAATTTGTTGCTGTCACACAAGAGGACCTGGCCCCTAAAAGACCCTTCCGCCACTGGCCAATGTGCACCTGTGGAGACAAGGGATCCCCAGTGCCAAGGGCTCCCACTCACTGCTGCAGCAGGGAATATTACCCTGGAAACACTCACGCCTGAAGAAAACAAAGCCAGTCCTGTATATACAGCCTGCAAACAGTCAGCCTCACTTTCACAGTTTACTTTCATCTTATGAAGGTGGTGAATCAGAGGGGATGGGTTACAGATCAGTGAGTCCATGGCGGGGAGAACCACGGCTCGGGGAGGCCCTTGGCTCCATCACCCCCTGCTCCTCTCCTCTGGCTGGGAGCTCTGTGAGTCAAACACATCACAAGCAGATCAGTTGAGGATCAGTGGCTCGGTAATTTAGTGCAAGAAATTAACTGCTTCTGGGATATTTTCAGCATCTGGCTACCACTTAAAATAACACCTGATAACAAATATTAAACTTTATGGGCCTAGTGTGTAGCTGGGTCAGTGTAGAACCATACAGCCGTGAAATAGTTTTGGTTTTAAGGGACTTTTTGAAGGTCATCTTGTCTAAGGGCCCTACCGTGAGCGGGAACATCTTCCATGAGACCAGGTTCCTCAAAGGCCCATCCAATCTGGCCTCTGTGCGGCCTATTACAGTGTGTCACCATCCTCATCATAAAAAAAAAAAAATCCTTATGTTGCATTTAAATCTAAACTTTTTCAGTTTAAACTTGCTTCTTCAGCCGCTACAAGTCTTGGTATAGAGTGTCTCTCCGTCTTTCTTATAGGCAATCTTTATCTATTGAAAGGGTGCCCATGCACAGGTAGCCTTATTCTGCTGGTGTTGGCCAAGGATGTTTAGACTTAAGACACACCTGGGAGGCTGCAAGGGAGCCTCCTTTGAAAGCAGCCAGCAGGGATGGGAACTGGGGATGGGCTGGGAAAGACCATCTTCCTACTAAGAAACCCCCCAGTCATAAAACTGAAACCCCTCTGGGTTTTTGCACTTAGTAATTATTTCTACAGAAGCTGTCCAAGCATGCAGAAGGGAAACATATTTCAACACCTCCCCTTTACCCGTGACTTGCAGAATATATTGAGTCCCACAGCAATCACAGGGCTGGCTATGACTGCTCTTATCCTTATTGCTCATCCTTTAGCACCTGCTTTTCACACTCTGTTCCTAAATTAGGCTTCTTATGCTCCTGACACCAAATTACACTACTGAGCACTTTATTGACAGATATGACTTTCTGAAGAAAATCCTGAATTTTTATTATATGAAATATAATGGAATTCTAGTCTAGGCTGGTGGGAGCATCTTTGAGACCTTTCCCGTAATAGAAGCAAATCACCGAAATAGTCACTTAGTTTTGTTAATATCTATCAATTTACCTCGAAATCTGTACCCAACAAATACTGAAAGTTTGCAAGGAGAAAACACCGTTGGAAAGCCATCACTAACACAACAAGCCACAATATCAGCATCTCCCATCAAACAAATTCGTTTACCACTAGGTGGCAGATACTATTTTTTTTAATTTACTACCGTCCAACTATTTTTTTCAGAGCAAACATGCTGAGGGTGGTGTCACAAAGCAATAAGGTTGGCACACAATGGAGTTGGTATTTTTCTTTATTATGCTAATAGCAAATGAAGAGGAGGCAAGAGACAGAGCTGTGTTTTGTGATCCTGGGTGTGCAAAAGCCCTTAAGACAGACCACCATCCCATGAAGTTATGATCCTGCAGCTCTCTCCCACGGAGTACAGCTTCTGGATAGGCCACTTCCATTTGCTTCAGCTCTACCACAGTTATCAGCCCAACCAGGGCTTCCCGTGGTTCATGTATTCTTCAGTATATTTTTGCAACAAATTATTTTTGGGGCTAATCTTGACCATCCTTATGTAGTAGATACCCTCTCTGAATTCCCTGGCATGAGGAAGATATCAGAGAGGGTGAATTGGCACTGTAGTTCTAAATGTTAGCATCCTTGAACTCTAGTTTTATGGGGGCATTTATAAACAGCCAAGGAGTTTGTACTGAGAGGTCATTTGAGGATTTAAATCCAGACCCCACCTCGGTCATCAACTTCTAGGGATCTTCCTACAGCCAGGCAGTGTTCTGCCAGCTTAGGCTGTTGGAGCTGTTGTTTCTGTCCCCAGTATTGAAAACCTGGGGAGAGCAGTGCCTTCATGAGAAGGTGCAAAGCAATCCCAGCTCTGCTCTCTGGATGTCCTGGTGCACAGTGCTGCTCCTGGTGTCCTCTGCTCCTGAGGGCACAGTGCTGCTCGGGCAGGGCTGTTCCTGCCAAGGACCAAGTTGATGCCTGTTGCAGGGGGCAGCTCCACTCTTCACACCTCCCATCCTCATCCTCGGAGCAGCAGCATGGTGAGGCTTTCAGGATCACCCCAGCCATGTGGGGCTGGTGCAGCTGCCCTCCACTGCACCTCCACACGAGGCAAGAAGTTTCATCCATCCATTGTGTTTGTGCTTAAATTTAACCATTGCCCCTACTAAGCTGTTTGGCATCTTAGTCTCTTAGATAAACTTTCCAAGTCTGTCTTCTATCATCTTCTCTAGAGAAAGCCCTAAGCAATTAGAAGAGAGAGCAGGACCCATGTTCTTCAGCTCTGCCTTTGTACCAAAGACTTCATAGATTTGTTGTCATTCTGGACTCTGCACTTGTCACCTCATTAATAATCCTGCCCTGAATTTAGGTTAGGAGTAAGCTGATCTTTCCAGCACATTTGGTGTGACTGTCAGGAAAGCTGCCACCTCCACAAGCATGGGGCACTGGCCTTTGCTTCTCCTCTTTTGCCCTGCAGGTCCTTTCCCTGGTCTCCAAAATAAAAAGTAATTTTTCCATCTCTCTCTGTCTTCCAGTTCCCCCTGCCATCCTATTTGTGCCCCTCCACTTCAGCTGCTGTAGGTCAGGCCTTTCTTTTGACAAGTGATGCCTGCAAGTTTGCTTCTTCTCTTGAAACCCCACTCTATGTGAAAAAAACTTTGTTGTCCTGGAGGCTGACATTTCAATTGCCCTGTTCTGTGGTGTGAAATCATCCTCATGCAACTGTCTTTCTTGATTTCAACATTAATTACAAATAACAGCAGGTCTCTCAGCTCTTTGTCCCTTGTGCTGATTCCTATCTTGGGGTGTTGCACAGAGTCTTTAAAACCCTGCAAGTGACAATAATGCTGTAACTAAAAAATCTGAAAACTAAAAATCATCATCCCCCCACCTCACTAGAAAAGATTTTAACTTTCCAGAAAAATAAAATGCAGCTTTTTTTTCTTGCTTGGTTTGTTGGGGGATTTTGAGTTTGTTTTATTGTTTTGTTTTATTTTGTGTTGTTGTTGTTGTTGTTGAGGGGTTTTGGGGTTTTTTTGTTTTGTTTGTTTGGGKTTTTTTTGTTTTGTTTGTTTGGGTTTTTTGTTCTGGTTTGGGTTTTTTTGGTGGTTTGGGTTTTTTGTTTGGCCACAGTTTATGCATCTCCACATTCTTGTGTAGAAAAGCCTGCCAAAGGGAGAGCTGCCAGGGCTCTGCCTCATGGTCACAAGTGCATGTGGTACTTTAGAACATGTCAAAAGGGAAAACAAAATCTTCACTCTGCTGAGGTCTGGGCTCCAAAGCCCTGGAGAGTCCTGGGTCTCAACAGAGACGAGCAGAGCCCCAACAGCCACAGCACACAACCCTGTCCCCTCACAGCCCCCCCTGCCCCGGGGCTGCCATCTGAGGGGTCACCATGTGCCTGTGTTTGTGCGATGTAGGGTGGTGAGCCTGCAAGCACAGAACCAGGAATATCAGCCAGATCATCTGGCTATGGCCCAGTAAGAATTTCAAGGAGAATGTGAGCCAGAACTCACGTCAGTGGGAAGGCAGAGGGACCGGGAGGGTTTGCCAATGTGCTCACAGCCCAGGGACAAGCAGCCTCACACCAGCCACAGGCAGGGCACTGCAGCAGCAGGACCCAGTGCC